AAAAGCAATTTATAGATGAGGTTCATATATGTATGTGAGTGTATGTATACTCACAAGAGCAGTCCTCCCATCATTATCCAACTCATTTGGATTCAACCCTCTCTTAAGCAATTGATGCAAAAGCAGATCATCTCCTCTGAGTGCTGCAAAAGATAGAGTGAGGGGTAGGTCCATTCTCCCCCGAGCAATCATGTTCTCCGTCTCTAACAAAACTCCTTCCATTATTGGGTCCTTTAAATCCTTCAAGTGCTGACAATGGCCGAAAAAACGGGGAAATCACAATTTATTCATTTTCGAAAAATGCTTCACATTTAGCAAGCCGATGAAATACTAAACAATGGAAAACTTTATAAGATAGTTGACTGTGACCATATAGTATATGCTCGAAACTGCGTGAAAAAGGATTTTACTAGACTAGTGCTTTTTATATATCAATGAAAATGAACGTACCTGTAAGAGATTACTCATTATTATTGACCCATCTCCAACATTGGCCTGAATAATATTCAGGAATGTTGTACGATTGAGTCGTAATAGCTGGGTCAACCTTTTCGTACGAACCGTGAACAATTGAGGCCTATAGCAAAGTACACCAATCTCACCACAAAGTTCGCCGGATTTGGCCTCCCCAACAACCTGCAATTATTGACTTCATTTATTAGTACATCCTATAATATACAAATTTCATACTTTTTTAATAAAAAAATAAAATAAAATAAAATCTGTAACAAACGAGACTTGCCTGTTCAACCCCGTTTCTCAAAATCAATAGTTCCTGAAAGTTGAGAAAATTATGGAATAATAAGCTTTAAATTCATATCGCGAACTAAATAAATGCAGCTAGCAAAAATATAAGTGCATTAACCATAAGATTATGAGAAGGCTCTCTAAATTTATTTTCTTACCACTGCCCCATTGGCAATTATATAGAAGTCCGTGGGGGCCTCATTCTGCAAAATCACATCTTCCTTCGGAGCGAAATATTCGGCCCTCATTTCCGACACCTATCATAAAGTATATGATGTCAATGCAAAAGCCAAAAAATAT